CTACAGTTTAAAAATGTAATAAGCTTTGCCCTGCACAGAGTGGATCGTGAAACAAATGGAATAATCATAAATACATTATTTCATATTTATTACTTCTCCCTCCTCATTGCTTTATTATTGTAGCTCTAGTAATAAATAATAGTGTAAGGATTCTGGATCAGCACCGTGATGCCCATAGTATATACAGTATTCTAAAGAAGGTCTAAAATGTCACTGTGTGTGCATGTGTGTGTTTTATTTAGATGGATTTAAAAAAAAATATTACTCATGATATAACATTGTCCAGACATGCCTGGTAAGGACATGAGGAGGAAACAGTAGGAGCTGTGTGAGGCTACTAAAGGCAGTGCTATAACATTTTTCTGTCATCATTTTATTATAGATTAAATGCAAGAGTTGTTAGGTGTTTCACAGGCAGAGCCTAAATTATTTCTCACAGTTTTTTTGTTGCTTTATGGTTCCAACACAGCCCTGCCCTTCCCATATTAGATTCTTGATGAATGTGTGTTGTTGTTATTCAGCCTGGTTCAATGTGCCCCTTTTTAACTTTGAGCACCTGCCCCTTTAAACCTCTCTGCACGGCCCTGCTAGAACTGTAGAAGCTTCTCGGATGAGAGGTGAAAAGTCTTCAAGGAACTTAAAGAAGCTTTTCTTTCCAAGCTTCTTAGAATACTGACATTATGGTAATCCAAGGCATGGTGTCAAAGTAGTCCTTGTATGCTATACAGAAAACAGACATTTTATCGGGCATTTGGGTTCTTTTCATCTGTTTTTGTTTTTTTATTTTTATTTTACTGTTCCGATGGGTTAATTTCTGTGTTATTTGCCGAGATTTGGATGTTGCGCCCTGCCTGAGACTACCATAATGACCCTAAAATCACTGAATCACAGAGTTGCTGCTTAAATGAACCATTGGAATTTTTCAATTGTGCCCAACGTTAGAGTTAGTGATAGTTGGACCTGGTAGTTAGGTAGCTGATCTAAAACTGATGGGTTTTAATGGGTTAAACTGAAATCTAAACCTGACAGGAACCCAGTACAAAAACTTTAAATGTGAAGATTTATGAGAGTGAGCTAAAAGTCTTACAGCAGTGTTTTGCACACACTGGCTATTCAAGAACACACTGAATAGCTGCTTTAGTAAGACAAGAAAACAGGGCATTACAATAATCCAAACCAAAGGAGATGTCACAACAATATTAAGTTTGGCAGTATTTGCTAAATAAAAAAAAACAAAACAAAGGAAAAACAAGAGCAGGCAAAAAATGATTTTAAAAAATTACCCTAAGGTTCCACATGTTAGCTGTTATCTGTTACCTCAAAAGGTAGTGAGCGTTAGGGTGGGCATGGCCAAAACAACAAACAAAACACTTAGAACTAACTTAACTATAATGAGAAAATCCAAAAGAAAATACAGGCCCCTTACCTATCTCCCTAACCAAAACAGGAGAAAAAGGTTCCAAAAGAAAACGGCTTCCCACCCCTACAGCTACCAGGTCAAACAAATAGGTCTTTTTACACAATTTACAATATTAACAATGCAGGCTATCTCTTCTCATCCCAGAAAACTCAGCAAACAGCACACAGAGCTAAATGCATGGCTCATATGAAACAGAAAGTAGCAGGGCTGTCAGCCCAGTCAGGTCCCAATTTGTAGCTCTCCTCATTCCATCTACCACCAATGGTCAGCCTCCACCTGGAAATTTACATAAACACAGGCATCATAGAGGACAAACAACGCCCCCTCACATGTCGCGAATGACAACACCACACAGAATCATGACCTGGGTCTTAACAAAGGACCTAAATTGCTGTCTGAGTTGGGTATTGCCCTCAGGAGCAGCATGCTGTCTGGTCTGCATTAATTTGCCAAAAGTTAGTTACCATCCAACTTTTGATTGCATTTTGATGGCCCTTTAAAACTGATTCATGTTCATGAGGTTCAAAAGCGAGGTTGAATGTAAATGATAAGAAATGATTTTTTTTTTTTAAATTTGCCATGAAAATAAAAAGTATTCTAGACACAGCTGGAAATTTCTGCAATGTGTTTTAACCTAGGGGTCGAGATCTTATGGTCAGCAGAATCAAAGGCTAAGCTAAGGTCCGATAAAAGGAGGATTGATCAATGACTCTTATCTGCAGCCATCAAAAGGTTATTGAAGACTTCAAGGAGAGCTGTTTTAGGGGAATGCAACTTTCTGAAACCACACTAAAAATTATCAAGAACATTATGCTTCTCAAAAATATTATTTAATTGTTTTGCAAAAACCTTTTTTGATATTTAGATTTTAGTGATAAAGAACATTTTGAAGTGGGCCTATTGAACATGAATGAATTTTAATTTGAATGGCACATAACTAATGGGACTATCTGTGAGGGTTTCATCAAGAAAAATTTCAAAAGTTCATTGCAGTCCATATTCAAGAAGGTTGGTGTAAATTATGTTGTTGGAGAAACAATATTAGTCACTGTGTCAAAGAACACTGTTGGTTAGCGTTATCTACCCTATAGTCTAAGAAATTAGACTATAGGGTAGATAACGTTTTTTTTGTATGATGGTTGATCAGTGCTTTTGGACTGATGACCTTGTATTTTTAATAGTAAGATATTTTAGCATAATAAGATATGTTGAAACCATGTTTTTATTCACAGAGACTCATCTGGAAAAGTTATTGGATGATCTTGGGTTGGAGCAGTACTACAGAAAGAAACTAACACTCAGAAAAATACTTGAGATTGATGAGAAGGCCATCACTGATGAAGCTGCCCACTGTAAATCTGACCTTCCTTGGTATTTTCTGAAGAAACTGATGATGGTTAATGTGACAGCGAGGAATGTGACATATACCACAGTGTGTAAGTCAGACAGTGATGGTGTATCAGGGAGTCAAGAGTTCAGTATTGAAAATCTGTTTAAAAGTCCCAAAAAAGGTGGCATGATAAACCCCCTTGATATAATCACTGCTCTTTTTCTGTGTTCTGATGGTCTTGTGCAGCAGGAAATGGCAGTAAAAATGTCCACATGTCAGTTTTCTGTGCCTTTGCTGCTTCCCAATTGTGACACCAGTCAGTGCACACTCATGCTGTGGGCCATGAGAGACATTGTTAAAAAGTACAGACCTCAGTCTCTGTCAGAGTCTAAGGGCTTCATTGAAGAAAGAATCGTCCTCTCTGAATTTCCAATGATCTCTTTTGTCAGACTGGGTGAGTGCTCTTTATCCAAGTCAGAGATTCTCAATAAGCTTCTGAGCAATTCTCAGCAGTACCATGACACCTTTGTTCATCGCAACATGGAGTGTGGTGACAGTCCAAGAAGAATATCCAACGGACTGACTGAAATTACTTGGTATCTTCCTGGTGGAAACACAAACGTTGATATTTTCAGTCAGCCAGTTGCTGTAGCTAACCTTCGTGGGGACATTGCAAGCTTTCAAACACAATACTCCTTTCTGTGTCAGACATCTGCAGCAGTTTTTGTGTTCTTTGACCATTTAGACTCTGAATCTGAATTCAGTCTACTTACCAACCAACAGCACGAGGCACAGATCTTCTTGGTTGGTAGTCATGTGAGCAACAACAGTACAGATACTTTAAAAAAAGTAGCAACTGAGTTGGGCTTGACCAACAACAACATCATTATTAAGACAAAAGCAATAAATGACGCAGACTTTGTCAAAAGTTTGAGGGAAATGATCAAAGACTTGGTTAAGAACGCAAAGATGAAGATGACAATAGAGCAGATGGCAGACATTGCCCATGACCTGGGGATCCTGGTTGATGAAGACTCTCCAGAGTGCCAGACTGCAAAGAAAAATTCAAATGTCATCACTGCTGAAATTCAAGACATCCTTAAATACAAAGAAGATCAGCTTCCACGGCAAGGTGAAATATGGAAAGAACTGACCTGCTTAGAGAAGGAAGAATTTCGACTTCGAAAAGTTGGCTCCAAAAATATAGAAGATTACAAAAGTGAACTTCAGCTGCAGAAAGAACAACTGAGGAAAAGGCAGAATTTTTATGACATTTCCAGAGCTATGA